GCTGTTATTAAAGTTTCCTGGAGAAAAGTAAGATTTGTGATGAAATGGAAGAGTTTATTGGGGTAATTGCAGCAGTTTGGCTGTTTAATTAATTTGAAGGACACGACGTGTGAATAACATATTAGACGTGGAACAAAACTTGTGCGTCTGATTACTTCTTCATCATATAAGGGTTAAGATCCAAGATCCAAAAATAAAACTTAATACTATTATTAAAAAGGTTGTGATCTATATTTGGGTAGAAAATAACACACCAAATATCAGCTTTAGCTGTGAATTATTGACAACTTCATATATTTGTTTGTAAGTGCAAAGTTTTCCTGAAGCCTGTTTATAGTTATTTTAAACGAAAATTATAAAAGAAGGTTTCCTTTACTTATTTGATCACACTTATATATTTAGTATATGTACATACACATATATAATCCTAGATTTTGAAGCATAATATACTCACATCTGCACATTGTGTACAACAAGTGTATTAATAAGTACCACAAATGGGAGCATACTTGTCGCAGTAGATATTTGAGCAACTGGCATTATAAGAAAATCACAATACTCTCACACATACCCAGCTTTAGATGGATGTTTTATGTGGGCACGTGAAAATTGTATAACTTAATTCATGTAATTTGGAAAAAAAAGTTCGATAAAATGAAAAGTTTTACTTTGGAAAAAAGGATGGGTTGTCAATTTTATTACACATACTTATGTATGTGTTATTACAATATATTATAAAAATATTTGTGCAACTCTGATTTACTTTTCGTTTACGCAACGCATCTGACCTGCTTTGAAAGTTAAATTGGAATTTTCGCCTGGAAAATTCATATTAGTTATCGCTCTCTATTTGAAAAATCTGTATCTAGTTTAACGAAAGTAATTTAAGAAAAAACGGTTTAAAATATAAAATATTTATATAAAAAATGGAATGTAATGTAAATAATTTTGTGAAGCACTCTTGGCTACTCTTGTAAGATGTTATGGGGATAGTATTTTTAAGTTTGTTTGAAGTTAATGTTTAGAGATTAGTACTCATATCTGCAAGATTTAGACTAACAGACAAATTTTAGGGTGACAAAAGATGCGGTTGATTGCAAGCATAGTGAGTTCTTAAAGCACAGACACTTACTCTTATTTTAGTTCGAATAACGCGAATTTACATTCTCACAAACTAGCTAAAGTAAATATTTGCTTTAAAGTTTTACTTGGAGATAAAATATTATGCGATCTGGCCGAACATAAAGTTTACTCACGAATACCGGCATTTCCCAAGGCAATTTAAATATGCATACTCAGCACCATATAGGGTGCTTAAGTTTGGCTAGTTCAAAGAGGCATACTGTTTTTGGAGAATACCATTCATTGGACAATTTACTGCTGATTAGCCAATTTTTTTACTTTGAGGTGTAAGTAAATATTAAATTGCATTTTTATAAAGTCAAAGTATTATCCTCGTCAAGTTTTCCCAGCGATTGCCAGGTGTCCGCCAAGGTCAACAAATTTTGAATATTTTTTTTGTGTATTATTTACATGATAAATAAAGAAAACAAATTGATATTCTGCAGTTAGCAGCCATTCTATGTAATACAAGGAAGGATGGACTAAGTTCGGGTTGAAGCGAAAATTAATGATAAAATGTTACGAAATATTTCAATATTCGTTATTTTCGAGTTAGTACTGTATTAAAAACTCATTTAGGAAGCACTTAGCTTTTATACTCTCGCAACATGTTGCAGAGTGTAACAGTTTTGTTCAGCTAACGGTTGTTTGTATCACCTAAAACTAATATAAAAATAGATATAGGGTTAAGTAAATGGTATATAAATGATCAAGATGAAGAGACGAGTTGAAATCCAGGTAACTATCTGTCCGTCCGTTAGTCTGACCCGGCTGACTTTATGTGTTTCTAATAACATTGTGCATAAAATGGAAAAAATCGGGTGAAAACTTGTCCTAGCCGCTATATAACTAATATCAGGATTTTAAAACATCGGCTTGACTTTCTAACGCATATATTAATGATATTATTTGAGGTACCTTAATGAAAATCACAAATCATCTTTTTTCTATGTTCTTAACTTGAAGTCTAATAGATTTCGGCAACGGAGAGGATACCAGTGTGGTCAGTGTTGCTCTTTTTGAACTTCAAATACGCTGAGATAAATACGAATAACTCTGAATTTGTGTTGTCTATAATAACGAATAAAATATATATAAACCTAAACTCTCAGCTGTCCAAACTTAAGAGCTTCCTTGCGCCCACATTATACAATTTTAATAATATTATACATCCCTGTATGCAACCATGACGCATGAATGTATGTGCGTATATGTGTGGCTAGTGCTCCCAAATTAACATGATTTTATGTATACAAAACATTTGTGTAAAGCTCTGTGTATTAAAAAGCTCCCTAACAAGCAGCTGCCATATTAATATCAATCATAATAAACGGAACAATTATTCTATGCTCATGTAATGCGACATGTACATACACCTACACATAAATACCACATTTTACACATATGTACATATGTGTGTACAGTTTGTGGATAATTAGTATAATAACGCATTAGGGCATATTAGAAATCGTATGAAAGATATATAAATTTTATTTTAATTTTTATTGCGGTAGATATACTCTATCTGATATTAAGAAAAAAAATAAAAAACTGTAAGGTGGAGGACCTTCCTGTTACAATTAAGAGCTCATACTTGGAGAGATTTTCTTAGAGGTGTCTAAGAACCTCCTTGTGCAGAGTCCTTCGGAGTACCAAGCGAAAACAAAATATTCGAATTTTTTCGACCCACCCTAATATATATTCATATTTGATCAGCGTTACGAGCTGAGTTGATTTAGCCATATCTGCCTATCCGTTCGTCTGTCGTCTATATACGCGAACTAGTTTTTCGGTTTATTGATATCGCTCTGAAATACTTTTTTCTCCCGAAGAAGCCACTCATGTGTCGTTAGCGTCGAAATCAGACCGCTTTGAACGACAAGAATTAAGTTGTTGTATGAAAAATAAATGAATATACTCATATACCTATAAGTAGTTTGGAATAGTATCACCAGATTATGTCTATATACGTAAAGTAAGAAACCTGTCCAAAATCACGCACACCTCGCTTAGCTATAAGAGATATAATACTTTTCGTAACAACAGGTATCAATAGTTTCCTTAAACTCTCAGTAAAATTTGATTAGTTTTCATTTGAAATTCAGTAAAATGGGTATCGGAACCATATGCAAAATCCTATTAGGCACCCTAATGTATGCCCATATGAGCATAGGCGTACATAAGAGTATTCATTGCGTAGATTTGCAGTAACTCTCGCCCATTTCAGCTCATAAATTATGGAATTCAAATACTACACATATACGCATTATTCATGTAAACGAAGGCAGATACATTCTGTTGCGTATAGTCACACAAATCACAAATCTACATACATAAATGAGTTTATATGTAGTCACGAGGAATCATTTGAATTATGCGTTGCACTCGGCGCGCAATCCGATTGTAGTTGGTAAATAATTGAAATTCGATTTTAGTTGGAGTGAAAGTGTGACGCAAAAGTAGGCACATACACATACATATATATCTTTACATAGATGTCTGTCGATTTACATACATATGCATGCGCGTTTATACTATGCCTTGCAGTTATGTCAATTATATACTGACACTTAGTGATTTCATTGAATTGGGTAATCTCCTCGGGCGGGTGTTTACTATTTATCGAACAGCAGAAAACTACAGTTATGTCAAGGGTTTATAATTTAATTGATTTGGCGGATGAGTTACACGCCTTAATAAACAGTAATTTTTACACAGACTACCGATTAAGCAGTATTCATATGACTATTCACATATAAGTTATATACAAATAATCATTTCTCTAATAACTTATGTAAATACATAAAAAGCCCAGTGAGACTGCTTAAAGAAAAGCGACAGCATGTGCAAAAAGTAATTAATTTATAATTTCATGTAATAAGTTTTTCATGATACTGTATTTTGGCAGCAAGCTTCACTATATTTCGACCACAGTCGTGTTTACGTAATCGATTAAAATTCAATTTTTATTGAAGTAATTCTACTTTTCCACTGTCGGATATCATCAAGCCGAAATTTACAAATAGAAGAAGAAGCCATGGCAAATAACGGCTGAACATAATATTAAAACAATTCAGTTATGTATTAAATGGGCACCGAAGTTTAGGTGTGACAAATCGATCTAAAACTTCGAGAGAACCGGACCATGGGACTATTGAGCATGTCAAAACTTCTCCTCTTTCTTTTACTCTCGTCTTGAAAGTGTCCAGCACATCTTTAAAAAATATTCTTCAAGTAAGTTAACATTTACAACTTGAATATTATGAAATGGTCAGGTATATAATTTCTAAAGAGGTGCGCCGTGCTTTTGATCGTTCAGTTCATATGACAACTGAAGATTGCAGAAACGGACCAAGATAACTACATTGGGGTTTTATTAAATATCATTCGTTGTGTTCTATTGTATTATAAAGATAAGAAGATACCAACGTCAAAGAGAATCTTACAATGATGGCAGAGACATGTTACAAAGTTTGTTAGTACCAACGCTACATAAATTCATTACGATCGAGGTTTCAACAATAAGAGACAACATGCCGCACCTCTAATGACTCTTTAGTGCTGTTCAAGCAATATTCAGAGAAAATTTAGCTCGCTTTCAAATTATTACCGCATTAGAAACATAGGACTAATACCAAATGCTATATTATTTTATTATTATTTTGATGTTTACAAACGATTCTTGCATATTGCAAACTACGCCAAGTCCAACTTCATTGGAAAAATACAGTATTTGGTTCAAACACTACACGTTCACACTTTCGTTTTCTAATGAGCTACTCAGCTATTTTGACTTGCTACTCGCTCGTGTTTTAAGTTTTTAAAATAAATTTATAACGTAAATTCAAACTCGTCAAAATGTCAGTTTATGGACTCACCTAAGGTTTTCGATACGCGGTCGCCGGCCTTGTGGCCGATTCCTTCGATGGCTGTGATCCTTTTTACATCTGCAATCACAATGCATAACGCAGAGCGCGATTGCTGAGATCACTGTTATCACAAATGGCACCGTAAAGAAATGTATGATCGTCGCTACCTGATTGTCGTGATTGTACGACGTCAGCACGACCGTTTTATTTTTACGCGAATAATAGCAGGGGAATATCGCACCTTCGACACCATAGTATGCATTAAACGTTTTACATGTAACCGTCGGCGGATAGCCACACCCCTTTATATTCACTAGCAGTGTGGCCTCCTGCGACTGTTCCCACTCCGCGGTGAAGTTAGTGTAATCGGTCATGTTCTCGGGTATCGTAATATTTTGTTCGATAAACGTCACATAAATATGTACACAACGATATAGATCAGAGGTGCAACCTTCGCGACACGAACTCCACGAACAATTAAATATACCGATTAGATCCTCCCGACGTGTAGTTGTGCATAGTGTTGGACTATCGATGAAATCGTGACTTAGTGTCGATATCGCAGGATCGACATAGAGCGGCACCAGGAATAAAAGCGAGGCGCCGGCCGTCACCGAGAAGAAAGCAAGCGTAGACGTACTATAGAAGCGTACACGTTCGCGCCACGAACGAAAACGCCGGTTGCCATTTTTCTTTTTTGGAGCCAGATCTCGTTTTTTACGTAACCGTAACTCTTGTTGTTGCTGCTCGAGTAATAATTCTGAACTGCCACTCCTCATATTATTGTCCGTGCACACAGGGCGACGATTACTGCCGTAACCGTAACCAACCGCTGCCGCTGTCGCTGTCGCAGTCGACCGCCCTCTCGCCTCGGCGACCGTATCCGCTTCCGCGATGTATATTGTGTTCGCGTGCGCGCTGTGGCTCACCTCGTTGCACGAGCAACGAGTGCCAATGAGCGAACTTACGGCTTCTGCGTCGTCCGTGTCGATGTCGGTAATATATTTGATGTCAGCGTCGCTCGTAGCTTTGGCTCTGGCTTTGGCGTTTGTGTGGGTGGCGCGGCTGGCGTAGCTGCCGCGGGCGGAACGGGAGGTGGTCGCAGTAGCTGAGACGGCAGTAGTGGTGGCTGTGACAGTGACGGTGTTGACGCCACCAACAGCAGCAGGAACTGATGCAGCAATATTAGAAGCAGTAGCAGTTGCAGTTACACTAACAGTCGTTGTTGCAGTTGCAATTGTAGTTGCAGTTGTTGTGGCAGCAGCAGCAGCGGCCGCAGCTGTAACAGCTGGGGCAGCAGCTGCGCTGGTCGGTTCGCAATCGTTACTGTCGTTGAGATATATGTTGCCAGAGTTGTTGCTGATTGCTGCCGATGTGGATGGAAACGAAATCGCGGCAGAATTTGTTGCTTCCACTGTTGCTTTGGCTGCGAGCGAGTTTGTCTTATAACTGTTGTATTGTTCCACAGTTGGTGCTATTGTTGTTTATCTCGTACGTTAATATATGTTTGCTGCCGAGCAACTTTTTGTTGTATTCTACGAGTTGTTTTTGTGCTCTTTTTCTGTTGTTGCAAATCAATTGTTACAGTTGTTATATTGACGGCGCTATCGCTGATGGTTTTGTTGCAATTGTTGCTGCTGTTTGTACATGCGCGATAGTTTGAAAACCGAGAGCGTAAATGAGAACGATGAGCGCGGACAGTGAGTGTAGGAGAGATGAGCTGCCGCCAACAACAACAGGTCAGAGTACGAGTTTAGCTTTGGTTGCTAAATTGATAACGGCTCTATTAAGGTCCATTATAATTGCAGTAGACGTCGGTTTTGTTGTTGTAATAGTTACACTAGCACGTAGTTATATTCATTATCACCCTTTTCATTTATGCCATTGTAGAGAAAGTATGGTAAACTGCAAAATGGCTCACAGCCGTGCAATATTCCACACGCTCTGTCACTCAATTGCCCTATGTCGCCTGTTGGTACTTAAGTGACCTAGTGACCAATGCCACCCGCATCGAGTGTAACTGCTTCCCGAGTTGCTTCCCTACCGACTAACTCAAGGCAATAGCTTAAACTCTTGGAGTAAATTTGCGACCGCTCGACGGCTAAGCGCACTCTCACACGTGCACTCTTCGCGAATGTTTCAGAGACGCAGACAAATTAGTTAAGGCGATTTGAAAAAAACACAGTCTTTTCGCACCAAACAACAAACACAACAGTGTGAGAGCACTAACGTTGGATACACTTAAGGATATCAGTGTTGGTAAACAGTGAGAGGAGCGTCTTATGCAGTTTGGGAGGTCTGAGCGTGTTGCGACTCTGCTGCGCGTTGTGTCGTCGCTTACAGCGAGTATGGCTGCTATCAGCTGTTCGTCTACGAGTAGCTGGCGTAGCTCATTGACAATGACAATGAAAGGCGACGACAACAGCGACGTCCACGACCACGAAGACAATGAAGACACAGACACCAGCAATGAATGTGGCGATGGCGATGGCGCTGTGAACGACGCTGCACAGGTGGCGGGGAAAATGGGGGGATTGTGGCAGACACGACTGGCAGCTGACACCGAAGACACTTTAGTTTTTGGTGCGAAGGTGTTTTTTTTCAGCGTTGATAGAAACATTTAAAGCTCTCGTCGTTTCGACAGAGTTAATGGAAATGATTTAAGAAATTATGCATGTAGATAACTGCGCTTTTCAGGTAACAGAAAACTTATGCGAAAAAATTACACTCTTCTCCACTCTTCCACTCTTTTATATTATATATGAAACATCAACGCGTTGCAGCATTATTAGAAAAAAGTTTCGTTGTTTTGTTAGTTTCGTCGATTTTTATTAGAAATATTAGTTTGAAGAGTAGAAAACAATTATTTTATTATTTCAATTATATTTAATTCATATTTAAAAATATTTTCGCAGTGCTTAACAACTTTTTACGTCACTAATTTCAAATATAAATTATTAATCAATTATTTATTATTTTTATCAATAATTTATTTAGTTGTTGTTTGCCACAAGCAGAAAAATATTTGTCACATAAGAGTATTTTTTATGTTTAAATGCCGCGGAACTAAGTCATATTGAATAAATAGAGACAAGACAATACAGGATTCCCCACCAGCACGCTGAGATAACACTCTCCCCTCTGATCTGTCAATCAAACTTTAAGTGAATCCTCTCGTACTACGACACAGAAATCGCCTACGTAAGCCAGATAAAAGTAGTTTACCTCATTTCACAAGAATACGTTTTGATTATAAATTCATGCCCTTCACTAAAATCTAGTTCAGCAATAGAACCATAGAATTAAACCATTCAAATTAAAAGGTTAAAAATAATGAACATTTATTAAAACTCATAAATAAGAGTTTTTAGTGCGATCTTTAGATTCGAAAACCTTCGGGAACATATTCGGTGTGAACTGAAGATATGTCTGATGATAGGAGTTTCCACTCCCTCAAATGATTGGCAGCATTCTTTTTGATTTTTATACCCTGAATAGGATATACTAAATTTGCCACGATGTTTTACATTGAAGTTTTTATAAAGTATATACTCGTATATAACATAAGATCGGAATCAAGTGCTTGTATGAGGAACTTTTTCATTTGACGACAGATCTTCAACAAATTTACCTAAAGGTGCAATCTACGAAAAAATTGTTCAAATCGAGTCACTATAGCATATGCGAGTAGCTGTCATACAAGCTGACCAATAAAAATCAAGTTCTTGTAAATAATATTTTCTATTTGTGAAGGGTATTAATAGAATATGTACTGGCGTCCACAAATTCAAGAAACATGAAAGAAAAAAGCGAGATCTTTCTTTTATGAGAAATATTCAAGAAACTTAATTTTTAGAAACAAGGAATTTTCACACAAATTAATTTAAAATATGATGTCTTTTTTAGAGTTTATATAGGCATATGGCCGGCGCTTAATTTGACTGTTGAGAAAGTGGAAAAGCCAACTTGATATGACCGAGAAGATAATGCCTGATTAATAAATGGATGTCTCTCATCTTGAATAAAAGCCTTAAAAATAACAAAAGATTCAATTTTTTACTACTTTCAACTATTTTCTGTTCGCAACTTACATCTGCTGTGATTATAGCATAAAGTTATATCTACCAAGAACCCACAAGCTCAGCTCAATGTCGTCGCCACCCCACTGGTTACACACTAGCATTGATGTAGGTTAGTTTACATTGTAGAAAAATGGGAGCGTAATTGGGAGTGTCAAGCGAAAATGTGTCACACATACAACCGTATATTGAGGAATACTTGTATATCTGATTTTTTTATTCGAAACCTAATTTCGAAAAATTCCCACTCACTCTCTGCAGCAGGCGATTGAGAGCACACAGAGCGCGCTTTGATTTTGTGTTTGTTTTCGCGTTTAGGCATGTTTGTGTGTGTATGATTCCATTGATGATGACCCAAGTGTGGGAGGGTATACTTTATGTCATATGTTCGAATAGCATTTGTTCTATATTCCCCAGTGTCAACGTGAGCGTGTGAGTAGTTTTTGTTTGCTACTTTTATTTATTGCTTTATTCAAATAAATTGAAGTAGTTTGCAAAGAAATTTAAGAAATATGCGCTATAGATTTCCAGGAATCAAAGTTTCCCTACTTTCCCTATTTAATTATTTACAAAATTATATTTTAATTTTTAAATGCCGTTAATTATACTCAGGCTCTTGGAGACACAGAATGTTTTATAGTGTTTGCTTTGTTCTTTTTTTATGTTTTGTTGCGAGCAGACTCAGTGGTGTCATCGTCTGATTGTCTCGGCAAGCGTTTGTATGTACATATTTTTTTCTAGATCCTAAATACACTATTTTGTGCATATGGCAATTTTCATGTTGTTGGTGTTTTATTGTTTTTGCTTAATGTTTTGTATACATTTTCGCTGTTCATTTTGGGAGTATACTGACAAATGACAGGAGGATGTTATTCCAGCGAATTGCCGTGCATGAATGTAGATATGTAGTGTAAACGAATGTATGTATGTGTGTGTGTGTGTGGATGTCTAAACGTGCGTGGGTGAGTAAGCGCAAAGTGTAGTGTATTTTTTGTATTAAAATTTAAATATTTTTCCTTTTATGACCGTTGCTTTGTAGTCTTGTTTTTTGTTTTATGATGCATAATAGTTGTGAATTTGTTGTTGGTTTGTTGATTCGCTTGCTGGCTTTATTGTCGGTTGGTCTTTGTTTTGCCAGTCACACCATTGCGGTGGCTTTGGCATTGCGTGACTTTTGCCACTCAGCATTGGTCATTTCGCCGTTCGAGACATATGGGCAACGCGCCGACGTTGTGTGGGTGTTGCATGCGCTACAGTTCACAGTTGCCACACTAAACATTATAATTTCGAGTATAATTACTTTCTATTTTCCGTTTTTTGCTATTATTTACCCACCTACAAATCCATGTTCAAACAAGAAGCCCAAAAAAATATGAGACAGTCACGAGGTCATGCCTTATATAGACGTAGCGGCAACACCCGGTCCACGCTGCGTATGAGTAATACTACCAAATTAGCTAAACTTAAATAAGTTTGCAATTCAGCTAAGGTGCAGCATTGCGTATGAGTAACAAATTTTAAAATTCTTCAATTCGCATGCACAGACCTCGATCACTGCATACATTTTTTCCTTAGCATTTGATTCAACAGTTTCGCAGCTACGCTGGCCTTGCTTTCGGCATTACTCGCTTTTTAATAGTTATGTACATAACTTTGGCAATAAATGTTTCGCTGCACCATGTCTGTATGTGTTGGCCTCAACTGCAGCATTTGTGCTTGAAGGAACTTTTCTTAAAGTGAGAATGCGTTTTTGGTGTGGTATGGTTTTAAGACACAACAACAGCCAGCCTTCGCGCGAGAAGACCTTGCCCCCACTGTAAATATACCGACCAACTAAGTATGTGGTTGGTGTGTGCGCGTATTATATTATGTACACTGGCCGCACAAACAACAAACCAGCAGTGAGCTAGAAACGGATCTTAAGTAGTCAACACTATGTTTTTATCTGAGGCTTGCGGCCACATGAGGACGCCACCCAAATATGCAGACACGAAACGTAAGGCGCACCACAAGTACTAGCGGCAGCGAGGCTACGTGCGGTGCTGGCGGGTGGGGGTGTAATTGCGAAGAAAAAGCGCGAAAGGAAAACGAAAGAAACGCAAATGAAAGAGAAGCGGTTGAGGTGTATAGGGCGCGTGTCTTTGGCGTTTTAGCGTAGATACTTAGTGCAGCGCCGTAAGTTAACCGCAGCTTTATGTACATTCATACACACATATACATATATATGCATACATAATACAATCGGGATATAGTAGCGCACACATTCACTGCTTTTATTCCTTGCTATGTAAACTTTCTACAACGCATTCGACTATAATCTTTCATTAATTTTTATTAAAAATATTTTTTTCACGCGCGTCTGCAAATCGTAATTTAAAGCTACAACAAATACATGGCCATTCATTCAGCAAATAGTTCGTCTTTATTATCTGCTCGTTAATCCGTTATTTTTTCTGCTTATTTTTCTCTTCATTCCATTTCGCTAGAATTGCGCTGACTGCGCGCATGTGTGTGCGTGCAAGCATATTTACACTAAAATCGAATGTCCGCCGCCCCGCGCTTCGCGTCTCACTCGCATTGAGGGCGCAGCGCACGACACCCACTATTCGAAAGTGTGATTTGCACGCACACATACGCACACAGCCACGCGCTTCGCACGCACTCACGCACACTCGCCAATGGCATAACGTAAGCGCACCAGCGTTTTCTGCAGGTCAAAGGCGAATTTGAATTAACGCGGTTTCGAACGTACAAACCCCAATCAAATAAAGTTGCAATAATAAGAAAATAGCACTTAGCACATGAATTTTCCTTACTTGCAACACTGCGCACGCACATATGGCTTTTAGCGTTAACATTATAAATTTTATTTACTTTCACTTTAATTTTCTGCAGAATTTCTTTTTCATTACTCAATTTGTCTGCTGTGAATACGGAAATACGAATCACGCGCGTTAGCCTTCGTGCCGCACAAACGTTCGCCCAAAACTGATAGACTCAGCGCTATGGAATCTTCGAAAGGACTCCGTCGCAGCGCGTTGCGATGAGCGCAAATTAACTAACTCAATCGCTTTCCTGTTGCCAGTGCTGCAATGTCAAGTGGCGAGCGTGTAAGCACAATTTCGCGAAGTTGCTCTCGGCACGCGCGCGTTCTTCCTTGCTCGTTCGACTCGTATGTGGCTAAGATTTCCGTACGCAACTCTCATGCGCTCCCTTTCACTATAATTGCGCGATTGCTCTCTGCCATAAATTATACTTCGAGTGGATTTTTGACTTTCTGTTCGTGTTTGGTGCCTCGAATAAGCCAAGGAATGTACAAGTAGTAAGCTGTAAGCAGAGCCGCTCCCAAGTTTGCGCGATTTAATGATAAATGCTTAGTTGGCCTTTGCTGTTATTGTTGCACGTGTGCCATGCACACAAAATAAAATACGAGCGCTCACGAGCGTATAGAGTTTCAGTTGGAAAAATTATGTTTTTGTTTTTGCTGAAAAAGTGTGAAGGTTACTGACATTTCCACGAATGTCCTTTCTGAAGAGGGGTGGGTTTGTTACGCCTACGCTTCACTTTTTCTGAAAATATACACGAAATGAAGTTTGCGTTACTGTTTTGGTTAGTTCTACTTTTTTAGAAAAAGATCTAAGTCTTTTCCCAGATATATTAAATGAAAAACTTATCAGATAAGTTTTTTAAAATGGAAGTCTCCCAGAGCAAATTCTAAAACGATTCAACTTAACAGAAACGCTTTCATTATACCCTGAAGAGGGTAAATTAAGTTTGCTATGATGTGTAACACTCCGAAGAAAATGTCGGAGACACTCTTAAATATATATATAAATAATCTGCATGATGAGCTGAGTC